AATTTCAAATATGTGAGTATTCAAGTCCTACCTGACTGTCTCATGCCCCTCCCTATTAACTAGACAGGTACTGCTACAACCAGTGAGGGACCCATTCATACAGCTCTTCCCCCCCCCCCCCATTCCTTTACCTCCTTCCCCAAACAGACCTGACAATGTTCTTATGCTTCAACTCCTTAAGCAAGCAAATCTCTCTCAGGGCGGAGCTTGGTACCCCCTGGGAGGTGATGGAAAGAGGGAGGCAGTGAGACTAGACAGTCACTAACCACATCCCCAGGGAAGCCCAACTCCCCCAGCCTTGTCCACACAACCCCGGGCCCCACCTCGTCATCATCGTCCAAGCGAACTCGTTTCAGTGCCACAATCTCGTGGGTCTCACGGTTCTTGGCCTTGAACACTGTTCCATAGGTGCCTGGGGAGCAGGAGGGATCAAAGCTACTTTCCACCTCTTCTTCCTCTTCCCTACCCCACCCCTCCCAAGAGATAGGGGTAGGTCGGGTTTTTTTGGAGGGGAGGAGGAAGGGAGGGAGGGGGGGGGGGAGGTGGGTGGTGAAGCAGTTTGCTTTATGGTCCGGGAGGGGAAGCGGAAGAAGGGAAGCAAGGTGAAGTATGGGAGCATTTAAGACTTAAGGATGTAGAAGGGGCCAGTTCGGGCAGTGATGTAAACAGCCTGGACAATTTCTGGTTGGAGGGTGGACTAGGAAGGTTGGTCCTAAGCGATGAAGGCGAGGGAGAAAAGCAATAGAGCGCTAAGCAAACAGGGGTGCCTGGCACTGGTCCATAGAGGAAGAATGGTTGGGGAACAACTGGGGGGAGAGGATCAAGAAGCTCCTTGGGGGGGAGGGGGATCAGGGTTTGCGGGGGAGGGGATAACTTTTGCAAGGGGAGGCTTGGGGGATGGGGTTTCATGCAAGAGGATGTCAATTGTGCAGGAGGGGCTACCTGCTTGGGGGGCCCAAGGTGGACATCTGAAGCATGGGGGTGGCTACCGAAGCTTGGGAGGTCACAAGAAGGAATATCAGGGTTTGCAGGGAAGTAAGGGACAGGGGGTCTTTGCAGAAGAATTTTCCAGCCCGTTACCTTCGCCTATCTTCTCCAGCTTCTCATACTTCTGCATCACGGCGACCGCAGAGTCCCCGGCGAGCCCCGGGCTCCCAGTCTAGGACCCCGGCTCAGCTGGGGAGGAGGCTCCAAGGAGTCCCCCCAGGCCGCGCCCCGCCCCGCTGGCCTGCCTGCCCTCCTGCTCGCCGGGGCGTGGATTATGGGACCTGAAGTCCTCGAGGCTTGCTGGCCTCGGAGAAAAGCTCGAGCCAGCGGAAGCCGGAGGACTACAAGCCCCAGCGTGCTCGGCTCCAAGGCTCGCCTGTCTCCGACTCCAGGGACGCCTGCCGGACTTTGGAGACAAGCCCCGGACTTCAAGTCCCAGAAAGCCTCTTTGGATCCGCCTTTTCGAGTCCGTCGCCGTTGCAGCACCGCGGTTCCCATCATGCATCGCGACGTAGGGTCCTTCCTCTCCCAGCGACCTCGAAGACTATTCTGGGAACTACATGTCCCAGAATGCAGTAGGGAATCCAGGGTACCCAGGTTTCGGAGGGCTGTCCTAGAACCTGAACCAGAGCGGCTCCCGCAGGACCCCGGTCAGGGTGATGAGTCGTGTGGGTGAAACAGCTCCTGGTGACCTCCAGCCGATTCTGCTATGCCCCTCTTCCTCTAGACCCCTTCTACTGGAAGTGACCCCTGGTGATGTCCAGCTGACATCCAGGATGACTATTTGATCCTAGAGTGACAAGCTGAAGCTGGCACGCGCCAGTAGACCCCTACTCCCCTTCTCTATAGATCTGCTTCCCTCCTTCTGGGGTCTTCTGACACCTTTAAGTCAGTATTCTTCCAACTTCACTCCTTTTACTTAGCGGGTTCGCTGAGGGACTGGGCCTTTAAGAACCCAGGTCACCCCAGGATGCCCCTAGGAGGTTTCAGGCTTAGAATAACCGTATGTGAAAAGTCCAACCCCATTATTTTATAGACGGACTATAGAGAGGTCTGTTTGGGGATGAAATAGGGTGTTAGCTGAGACGTAGAGGCGGGGACTGCCCTCCTTCCAAACTCTTTTGGAACCCCAGAGATAGGAGCCGAGACAGCTATTACATTAAATAAAAATAGCCAGCATTTATGTAGGACCTTACAAATATCTCACTTATTCCTCATAACAACCTTGAGAGGTAGTACCCCCATTTTACAATGGGGAAATTTTGGGAGACAAAGGCTAACCTGCCCAGGATCTTGAAGCTAGTAAGTGTCTAAGGTCCAATGTGAGCTCAGGTCTTCCTGACGCCAGTCTGGCTCTCTATCTACTTAATTACCCCCCAATTAACTAACTGTAGGCTTCTTATGGGCAGCACTTTCTTATTTCTTCTTTCTCCCAGGGTCTAACACAATGCCTTGTACGTAATAGGTGCTTAATAAATGTTGAATCATGTTGTAAGCTATAGTGTCTACACTAGTTTATAATATGTATATGGCTTTATAGTTTCTTAAATTTTTCCAAAACTTGTTTTCACATCCATTATGAAATTTGATCATCTTAACAACCCCACCAGGTAGAAAGGGGAGATACTATTCTTATTCTACAAATGAGTAAACGAGGCTAAAGGATATTATGTCACTTGTCCAAAGGTTTTAAAGAATGGTATAATGGGGAAAGCACTGTATTTGGAGTCATGGCTATTTATGATCTGTGGGACCTTGGTGAAATTATTCTACCTCAATGGTTCCTAGTTTCCTCATCTGTTAATTGAATGAGTTTGAGTTTGAGGATATCTTCCACCTTAAAATCCTATAATTTTGTAATCTTAACTGGCATAATCTAGATCACAGGTGTTCTAACTTCCAGTACAGTGCTCTCCCTGTTATAGTATATGGTCGTTTTATACATTGATTGATAGATTATTCCTTTCCTTTGTCCTTTTCTTCAACAAATACCTAAAAATACTGACATGTATGACCCTTTATAGTCTACAAAGTTATCTATTACATATATTTCATTTGATCCTCACAACAGCTCTGGGAGCCGGATAGATGTTACCCCTATTTTACAGATGAGGAAAGTGAATAAATGGTAGAGCCTTGCAGGACAGGGATCTCTAGTCTCTTGACCCTGATTGGTTTTACAGCAATAGATGTAGAGTTGAAAGGGACCTTAAAGGTCATCTAGCCTAACCCTTACATTTTAAAGGTTTAAAAAAAAAGATCCATAAAAATTGTGACTTGCCCAAAGTTGCCCTGGTAGTTAAGTGGCAAAGTTGGGGACTGGATCCAGGTCCTAACACTAAATCTAGTTGTCTTTGCATTGTAACAGGCTGATTCAAGTATCAACTTATGTTCACAGCACTATGCTGGGCCTTGTTGAGGATATAGGACAGAAGCAAATGACAGTAAGTTATATATGTGAAAAGCTTAAATTATACAAATGTCACCAATGATATTGGCCATTAGAAGAGATGCTGAAGGATGGCGTATATACCTAAGAGGCCGAGATGACAACTAGTAGTTAATGACCCATAAAGGCAGCTGTCTACCAGCAGTAGCCTCGTCTCACTCTCCGTGACCCATTTGGGGCTTTCTTGGCAAGGAGACTGGAGTGGTTTGCCATTGGTGGAGAGTGCCAGGAGAAGTACATTTGGAGTCAGAAACCATAGCTTTCAGATCTCAGCTAGCTGTCCAAACAAGCCACCTCAACTCTGTAGTTCTAGCTTTCTCATCTATAAGGTGGCTTCTTTGCAGAGGTAGAATACTATCAATGTGGAATGTTACACATACTATGGAACTCCGTGGATATGTGGACTCCATTTACTGAATTGCTTTTTTCTGTTTTTGAAATCTTGGTGAAAAGTTATTAGAGATGGCTCTCTGGATAGAGAAGGGCAGAAGGATAAAATCAAAAGGGAAAATAATGTAAAAACAAAGAGTATAAATAAAAATATGGTAATATTTCAAAACAAATAAATAAACAACCAAAAAGAGGGCTATTGGACTTGATGTCCTCTAAGTTTCCTTCCAGCTCTGATTCCAGTCCTCTGATTCTAATTTTCTTATTTCCTGGTCAGTGCTGGCTGCAGATCATTTGCCTGTCCCTGCTCTGCCTTAGAGGCCTTCTCAAGGGGTCTATCAGCTCAACAAAACTTGGACAAACTTTTGTTATAAATGTGCGCTGTGTGTTCTCCTGCCCCGGGAGATATAAAAGATGTAGGAGGTACAGTTATTCTTTCCTCCAGAAGTTTGCAATTCATTTGGGGAGATAAGACCTGCAAAAAGAACTACGGTACAAATTAGAGTATGATAAGTGATTAGGTGCCGTACAAAGTGTTGCAATAATTCACAGGAGAGAGAAATTATTACTTTGGGCTCCTGGGAATTCAGGGGAGACTTCATGGAGGAGGGAGCTCCTGAGCTAGATAAGGTGTCTCCATGAGAAAAGGGGCGGGTAATTTTGGAGAGGCTAGGAAACAATCTTAGATTCAGATTTGGAGGTCAGTTGTGCCCACGCCAACCCTGACTTTACTGTGCCTCAGTTTCTGTGCCTTAAATTCCCATATAAAGCTAAAGCCCTCTCCCTCCACGAGCTCCAAAGTTGGAGTGACCAGGTCAAGTGTCAGCGGCTCATGGGTGGCTACCATCCCAACTCCACGGAAGTCCCAGGGGGTGGCCTGTACCATCCTTCCGTGGGTAGGCCGGCAAGGATGGGGGGGGAGTTCCCGCAGCCCCGCCCGAATCGGCCAGTGCCGGCCTGTGCCTGGAAGCGCGCCCTCTTCCCCTCCCTCATGCACATCTTCTGCTCCCGGTCTCTAACGCACTGCACTCCCACCCTTTACATATACACACCCCCCCCAGCGGGGCCGCGCACGGCACGGAGGGGGCGCGCACGCAAGGGGCCGGCCTGCTTGCGGCGCGGGGGAAAGTTGAGTTGGGAGAAGTTCGGAGCGGCGGGGGCGCGCCCCGGGGTGGGCAAGGGGAAGCTGCTGGGAACGCGCGCGCGGGCGCCCAGAAAGGGAGCAAGACCCCCGGGATCCCCGGGGAGCGGAGCTTAGAGCAAGCGGGTAAGCGGGGGGTAGGGGAGGGGGAGAGGTGGGGGGGGACTGGGTCTAGAGGAAGGAGGCAGGGGAGGCCTGGGGCGTTGGGGAGAGGAAGGGAAGGAAGGAAGGAGGGAAGGGATCTGTAGACGCGAAGTGGAAGCGGGGATGCAGGGGGTGGGGTGGGGGGAGTTGGGAGACGAATGGCTCAGAGGAGAAGGATGGGGAGGCGGGCAGGGCGGAGGCAGGATGGGGAAACTGGTCGGAACTGTAGACGCCCGGCCTAGGTCCACTTCTTGGGGTTCTGAAGAACGGGGGTGCTGCGCTTCCTGCTATCAGAAACGGCCCTGTAGTCAGGCGTGGTCACCAGCTGGGCTCTGCAAGACCCCCCCCCCACACACACCTCTTCCTACCCTCCCTTCTGCCTACCCCTTCATCCTTTTCTGCTCCCTCCATGACTCCACGTCCTCTCAGTCCTACAACCCTCTTGCAGAGACTCAACTTCCCGGGCCCTCCTCCCGGGACGCCCCTCCATCTGCCTCATAAGAGGCGGGGCCGAAGTTGAGGGGGAGACGGGTCAATCCAGGACACGGGGTCAAACCTGTGGGGCAGCTGAAGGGTAGGGTTGAGTGAGGACCAATCTTAAGGAAAGAGAACTAGACCTTGGAAATTTAGGGTTCCAGGGGGCTGTCAGCTTTAGGTAGCTGGGGTGGGGGGGAAGGGGTCGCTACCTCTTCCAGGTAGGTCCAGCTGCCACCTTGCCCCATTCTCTTACAGCCCAGCGGTGGAAGGATGTGGAATGTGTACATTCAGTTTGTGGGGGCAGGGAATAAAGCTGAAGAGGGGGTCCCGGGGTGTCAGCTAATCCTGTCAGCCATGGTATGGGGAAAGATGTTAATCCCCTGGGGCTGGTCGGGGCCGGTCCCGGGAATGTGCCCCCACCCCGGATTATCGGCCCGGGACGCTTGGGACAGAAGCTGCTTTGTACTCAAGCCCAGAATAGGGGGGTAGGGGTGGGAGGGTGGAGGAGGGGGTGAAGAGATTGGAAAAAGGGGCAAATTGAAGGCCTCGTCATATAAGTATGGAGCACCAAGAGTAGGACCACCTGTAGAAGCTCTGGACGGATTCCCCCCCCAGCACACACAATTCTCCCTCACCCAGCCCCCTATGGGGGGGGGGGATGCAGCCCGGGGGGGGGCGTGGCCTGGGGGAGGGGCGGGGGGGGGGGGGGGGGCGGGGAGACGGTCAGCTGAGTTAAAGCTGGGGCCAGGAATGTTCAGCCCTAGGCTCCCAGAGTTGACCCTGAGACCTATACCTTTTCACCCCAATGGATAGCCCCTTCACACTGACCTTCCCTGTCTTTTCCCCTTCCGTGAAATCTATACCCTGAGCCACCCCAGAATCCACAGATTCTCTTTCCCCTTCCTCACCCCTCTTCTCTTCTCCATCTTAAACCCTAGGACACACCCCACTCCATCCTCCTCTACCCCCACCCCACCTCATCGACCCCAGTTAGCTTTTTAAAGAGCTGAAGCTCTTCAGAGACACTTTCCTCTCCTAACCTGCCCTCTCCCCCCACCACCCTTAAGCCAGTCATGGTCACGGGCAGGTTCTAACCCTGAGGTTCAGATTTTCCCAAACTGGGAGGGGTGGAAGGGGAAGGAGGATCGGCCCCTCCCATCACCAAGGGTCCCTGTGTCCTAGGAGCTAATGCCTCTAAGAGGTGAGAGGGCCAACAGGAGACCTCCTACCCCACCTCCCAATCGTATCACGTGCCCCCCCCCCTCCCCCCCCCCCCCAGCATAAAAGTCAACCCCGGCAGCCCTGTTCCTTCCCTCCCTCCCTCCGCTCCCGATGGGTGAGTTCAGAGACAAGGCTTCAGCTCCTCCTCCACCGTCCCCCCACTTCCCTCCCCTCTCCGGCTTCTGGCGGGGTGCTCTTTGCCAAAGGGGAGGGGGTGAGGATGAAGGGGGTGGGGCGGGTCCTGGGTTAGGACCCCTCCCGATAATTCCAGTGTCCCTCTGTCTTTCTGTCTAGCTCTCTTCCTGGAGAGAGTTCCGTTTTCATCTCCTTTTTCCCCTCTTGCTGTATGTCTGTCTATTCCTGCCAGCTCTCTGTTACAATCTCTTTCTCTCACTCCATCTCTTTATCACTCTCTCCTCTCCACAAGCTTCTCTGCTGTACTCCTCTTTCTGTCTCAATCACCTTCTCCCTCTCCTGTTTATGATTACGGTCACCAGGCTTTGTCTTCTCCATCTCTCCTTCCTTCTCGTCTAGGTGTCTTGTCACCTGCAGCCCCTTCTTTAGCCAACCTTGATGCCTTTCTTGGGCAGCCTTTTCTGTTTCATTCTCTTGATGTCCTCTTCCTCTCCATTACTGCTCCCCCTCCCCTTGGTTATTTTAGCTTTAATTGGTCTTTCGGTCCCTCTTTGTTTTTGACCTTAGAAAGAGCTCTACTTCCTTCTGCCCCTCCATTTCTTTTCATCCTATTATCTTTTTTCTGTTCCTATAGTCTCCCATCTATCTATGTTGCTGTCCTTTAAAGTATAAGATGACACTAAAGGTGATTACCATATGTGTATATTTGCAGGTGAATAGTACTCAACTCGGTAGCCCTTTCTGCTCCTCTGCGCCTCCATTTCCCACTTGCTGTCTCCTATCATTTTTTCCTCTCCTTGCTATCTTGATGCTCTCTGTGCTGTGCACATAGTAGGTGCTGAGTAAATATTTGGACATGGAGTCATTGATTGCCTTTGCCTATGTTTCTCTGTCACTTGTCACTGATAATGTTTTCCTAATGCGTAAGGGTATGCTGCCCTCAAGTTGTCCAGGGAGTTGCAGGGACAGTGAGAAGGGCTAACACCTTGGCAATGAGCAACACCACCAGACGTCCTGCCCTGGGCACAGGCCCAGGTCCTGGCCCCTTCCGAACAGTGAGTACTGTCTTCCCTTATCACCCAAGACCCCACAGGTCCCTAACCCTTACTTATCCTACCACTCACATCCCAGACCTCCTCCCTCTGGTACATAAAACTCCTTAGTCTGCACACCTCCAACCCAATTCCCGTCATATAACCCCAACTCTATCCTGTCCTGATACCTTCAGGAGTCCTGGGCGTTTCCTTGGAGGAGGAGGGTGGCAGAGCTAACTGGGGCTGGCAGCCAATTTGTGGTCGATTGAGATGGAAGGGGTTGTTAGGAGGATCTAGGAGACTGGGGAGAAGGGTTTGGGCGTGTTGGTGGTGGCTAGGAGTGGAGGGCACGACATCGTTGAAGGTTTCCTGCATTTTCGATGGAGTGAATGCTTGTATCGGGAAGGAAATAGATGGTTGTACTCTGAAAGAGATGGGGGGCTGCGGCGAAGTCGCATTTAAACTCCTTATTTCCCCCAAGAAGAAATCTTCCCTTCTCTCTCTCTCTCTCTGGACACAGTCTCTGCTAAGTGGCATCCCATGTCCCGCCCACCCCACGCCGAGGGTGTAGCTTCAGCTCGTCTGCCCCGCCTTCTGTCCCTAGTTTTAGGCCCCGCCCTCTCTCCATGTGGCTGCTTGCCCCACGTGGCTCACCTCTTTCTCCTGGGGGAAATCATTAACCCCGAGCCCTGCCGCCTTAGCCCAGTTATTGGTCACTTTGGCCCTGTCAGACGCATGACCAGGAAGGTGCGCGGGCCGATCCCCTTCCCCCTCCCTCCTCACTACACCCCTCGACGGCCATGGACTTCCTCCTTCGGCCTCAGGTGCGAGGGGTCCGCGCAAACCCCCTCCCTCCTTTCCCCTTCTAGCTACTCTCCTTTCCTTCCCCCTTCCTACTTCTCACTACTCATTCCACCTTCCGTGCGTGCCCACTTCCCTCCCCCACGGCTTCCTGGTCCCCTTCATCCTCTTTTCCATACTCACCTCATGCTTCCCCTGCCCCCCCCCAGCTTATTATGGGAGTGGTGCAGAGAGCTTTGTGGGAACGGGAGAGCTGGGTTACAGCTGCTAAAATAAGCTAGGCAGGTTCTGCCCTCACTGGGGAATAGGCACCCCTGAAATACCCTCCCACCCTTATTCACTATCCACAATTACTGCCTTACGCTCCCCCCTCCCCTGCCCTTTTTTGGTCACTAGCTGGCACCATCAGGGTGGGGGGAGGACCCCACTCCCTCGCCCTTGGAGGTTCTGATGCCCTTCAGAGCCTGAGGCTCCTGAGCAAATATTTGGTGATGGCTGGAGCAGGGGACTGCACTGGCACATGAGGGGACAGGGACGGGGTTACTAGACTCGCGGCCAGATTAGTTCGGCTCCGGCTCAGCTGCCGGCTCAGCTCGCTCCCGGCGTGCGGCACAACCTTCGTCGCCGCAGCCCCGCCGGCTGCTGCTGTGGCTGCTGCTGTTGCTGCTCTCCTTCCTGCAGGATGACTCAGGTGGGGGGAACGGGGCGGCAACCGCGGGGGTAGGGGTAGTGGGGCGCCCTGTCGGAAGCCGCACTCGAGTCCATTGCCCATCCCCCATCCCCCATCCCGCACCGAGCTCGGTTTCGGAATGACCTCCCTTTGGGTTTAGGCAGCCGGCTTTGTGGGGTGCTGAAGTTACTAGTGGGGCTGTGCTGCAGTCAGCCTCTGGAGCCTAGAGGGAAGGTCTTCATTATCCAATGTGAGAAACGCCCAAATGATGCCTCCGAGCATCCGAATCGTGGGAAGGGACACATTCCTCTTTGGAGTCAGAGCAGTGATTTTTCCACATTACAGAAATGACCCTAGTACAGAAGTGCGCTTGTGGGCGTGGTCCTGGCGCAGAAGGGCAGGAAATGGGCAGAGCAGGGGCACTGGGGGGGGGATGATTGGAGGGGGAAGGTGGCTAGAGGAGCAGGGATGGGGGGGGTGGGTGAAGACCCGGGACCCCTGAGGCTCTATCTCTTCTCCTCCCCACCCTCCACAGCCTGAGCCAGAGGGCTCAGGCCCCCACGCGGGCCCTGGGTGCCCTCCGTTCGCCGAACAGGAAGACGACGAACTGCACCGCACTTTGGGCCTGGAGCGCTTTGATGAGATTCTGCAAGAGGCAGGATCCCGCAGCGGGGACGAGCCGGGCCGGAGCTATGGGGAGGAAGACTTTGAGTGTGAGGGGGCGGGGCCTGAGAAGGGCAGGTGGGGGGAGGAGGCAGAGTCAGACCAGGATGGGGGGCATTTGGGAGTCGGGGGGGGGGGCGGGGGAAGGGGGGGGGCCCCAAGGGGGCTGGGGGTATCTAAGCAAAGGCTTTGGAGGGAAGGGGGGAGGGGAGACACCAGGAGGCTAGGGAAGGGGCTCGTGTCACCCCCTCTAACGGAGTTTCCCATCCTCTGCCAGACCACCGTCAGTCTTCCCACCACATCCATCACCCACTGTCTACCCACCTGCCTCCTGATGCTCGTCGTAGAAAGAACGCCCAGGGTACTGGCAGAAAACAGCGAAAACGCCCAGGAGCTTCCCCCACAGGAGAAACCCCCACCATTGAAGAGGGTGAGGAAGATGAGGATGAGGTCAGTGAAGTGGAGAGCAGCAGAACAGCTCCCCAGCTGTCTCCAAGCTCCACTCCTACTTCTGTCCAGGTAAGTGGGAGCTAAGCCACACCTCACTTTGGGAAATCCTTTGGTGAGGGTGGGGGTGGGGTTCAGGGAGCAGGTGAATGTGAAAAGCTCCTGCTACTTACCTTGTTTGCCGTTTTAGTTCTTCCTCCAGGAGGATGACAGCACAGACCGAAAACCAGAGGGACCTGTTCCTTCTTCCCCACCGCAACCCTCCCACCAGGAAACAAGCCCCAGAGCCCCCAAAGGGGCCCAGCCCGGGTAAGTGGTATCTTCCCTGCTGAGGCATTTAAAAATATTTACTGTGCTCAAAAGTGGGGAGGTTGTTTGAGGGACTTAAGATAAGTCAGAGATCTACCCTTTGGCGACTTACTTTCTAATTAAGGACACTGCTTGGGAATGTTTTGCCAAGTAAATGCAACATTCCAACCTTTGTAAAGCCAAGTAAAAGTTAATCACCTTAGGGGAACAAGTAGTTGAATTCTCTAGGGCCCGACCACACCCCCAGCTTTCTTACTTCTCCCTTCCAAAAAGCCATTCACTCTTTAAGCATCAGTTAAGCACCTCTGGCCAAAACTCTGAGCTGGGGCTCTCCTCCTAACTCCGAGACTTTTGAGTCTCTACCTCTGTCTGTTCTCCCCTCCTCCCCCCCTTTTGCTTTACTTATCCTTAAAGCTCAGATAAACTCTTTCATGAAGCCTCTCCTTCCTCCAGCTGGAAGCGATCGCTCCCTCCTCTCAACTAAGGTACTACTTTGTACCTTCAGCTTTCTTTGGTTGCCCTCTTTCCACTCCCCCAGCTGAAAATGGTTTTCCCCTCCTCAAATTTTCCTAGAGAGAACCAGATCTATTATTTTTCCGTATTACATGTTGTATCCCAGCAGATTATAAACTCACCGAGGGCAGTGACTCATTTTTCCCAGTATTCCCAGAACAGTGCATTGTATATATATTTAAACTGTTTAGTTGTATTGAATTAATGTTGTACCTTGTGCTGTAAGTATTTGTCTCTTTTTAAAATCTTCTCTACTAAACAGTAAGCTTCATCGACATGGGAGGGTTTCTGGCTTATCCATATTTTGTAACACCCACTGTGTTGTGTACATTTGTTGATTGGATGGATGAGATGGGATCAATCAGGGAGGGCTTCCTAGAAAGAACAGATGAGCTTTTTTTTTTGCTTCAGTTCATATATATTTGTTGCTTGCTTTCTACTGTTCACTGCAAGAGAATTTAAAAGAAGGAAAGAATAAAAAGTTTTTTTTTTATTAAACTCTTACTTTGTTCCAAGCAGTACATTATGCACTAAAAATAAAAGTGAGATAATCTACCTTCAAGGAGCTTAAGCTGTAATGAGGATGGACCAACACTGAAGGGGGGCGAAGTTTTGGTCTGGAGCAGAGGTGGCAAACAAGAAGCTAGCAATACTCCCCAGTAGGGCAGGAATCAGATTAAAATGTAATTGGAAAATATTTAACATAGATCATGTTAACACATGGTTTTCTAAATCAGTAATGCAGCCCACAGGGATCCTTATATAGATAGGGATTAGTAGGTCCCCCCACCCCCACTGGTTGCTGGTCTGAGGAATCACAGGGATGGTGAAATAGTCCATAGAACAGTCACTTGACATGTCCTTTCTAGAAACAGTGGTAATATGGATTTAATTACTGTGTCCAGAGAAAGAGGTGGGAGTGACCTAGCAAAAGGGCAGACAGGGAGTAGTTTGATTTAGGACAGGCTAGGTATCATGGGTTAGGTAAAATCTTGCTCACTCAAGGCACCAAGAGGCCTCAGCCACAGGACAGGCATTCTAAAGCTAAATGGATGTAACTTCCAGGGACTGGGGGCATGGCTTGGCTTGGATTCTAGAGGGTCTGGTGTGGATGGTGAGAACAGGGATGGGTGTATCTAGCATGACTGAAACAGGACAATCATTGTGGGCAAAGTTGAATGCATAACTACCATGGGCCCTGTGTGGTTAGTGGAAAATGGTTCAAACTCAGGGTACAGCAGTGAGCCCTGTGTGACTCATTCCATGGCCCTGCCCCCAGTCTTGGGCGGTGACTAATGTGAAATGGGAAGCACATATGTAGTGGAAAGCTGTATTTATTGAATATGGAACAAGTTAACCAGAAGTAGTTTAGATGATTCCAGTTCTTGTTTTTTTGTATTTGTAATATCCAGAGTAAGGAAGTAGGAGATTGCTATGTGTCTTCTCAGGGAGAAACTGGAGGAGTTTACTTCTTTAAAGTTTGCAAAGTGCCTTATATACTTTATCTTATTTGATCCTCACATGAGGTAGGTGAAATTATCATCTCCATTTTAGAGATAAGGAGACTGAAGCAAAGAAAAGTTAAATGGTTTCCCCAGGGTTACACAGCTAGTAAGTGACTGAGGCCAAAATGTAACACTTTTTCCTGACTTCAGGTTTCATGCTCAAGCTGCACTTACCTGCCTCATAAAAATCCAAGAACATGTGTTCTACGTTATAGACTACAAAGCAATAGGAATATGGAGATGGCAGATGTGTGGGGGTTGGCTTGTGTGACCTAGGGTGAGTCACATAGCCTCTCTCTGCCTCAGTCTTTCTCTCCCAGGGGTATCATAAGGATAAAATGAGATATCCATAAAGGGCTTTGCAAACCTTAAAGTGTAGCTAGGCCTTTAAGAATACCTTAGCAGGAGGGGAAGGCTCCTCAGGAAAAGGAAACGGCATAAGCAAACACACAGTTGCAGGAACAATGGTAACATTTGGAGTTACTATCAAGGGATTGGTGGGGGAAGGTTGGGATGGGTAGAGTAGGGCCAGATTGTAGAATCTGGGATTGATGAGACGGGCCAAGGGTAATATTTGGATTGGTGACTCTTACTAAAAAAAAAAAAATTGTGCTAATTTGCCATGATTTGGGATCAAGGGGCTGGTACAGGTGGAAACTGGTTTTGTCCCATGTCTGGAAGGGTTGGTAGTAACATTCTTTGTCACCTATTGGCTTCCTTTGTCCCAAGACCTGAGTATGTGTGGCAGTAAGGGTAGAGGGGTGGCTTACACATTGCTTATTTGTCCCAGGGCTCCAGCAGAAGAAGCATCCGGAGGTGCTGTGGGGGGAGAGGATGAAGGAGTCTCGGGTCGTCCTCCCGCTAAGGTTCAACCTGGGCACCGAAGCTACAACCTGCAGGAGCGGCGTAGAATTGGGAGCATGACAGGGGCAGAGCAGGCATTGCTGCCCCGAGTCCCTACAGATGAGAGTGAAGCCCAGACCCTGGGCACTGCTGACCTGGACCTCATGAAAAGTGAGAACTCTAATGTATTGGTGATAGGGAGGGCTTCAGAGATAGAACTAGGTCCAGAGCAACCCACCAGGAAATAAAGGGCTAGGGTCTAGAGTGCTGGGTGGAAGGAGTAGAATAATCCATTCTTTCTTTCTTATCCTTAAACCTTCAAAAACCCCACCTCCCGTCCCGTCCCTTCCCTGCCCCCCCCCATATACCCTGTCAATTGTTTCCACACACATCCACCTAATCTCCATTCTTCACAGGTCACCGGTTTGAGGATGTCCCAGGTGTTCGGCGTCATTTAGTGAGGAAGAATGCTAAGGGGCCTGTGCAGGGGGGGCAGAGAGGGGAGAGAGCCTGGCCCTACACCACGTACTCGAACTCGTCCTCCCCACCAGCCCCATGAGGTAACACACCCTGCCTCAGACCTTTCTGATCTTTACCCCACCACAGCCACAGCCCCTCAGCAGAATAATTCTTTACATGTTTGATTTTTCAAAGCATATCCACTTTTGAGCCTCACAACTACCTAGTGTTAGTAAGTGGGGCAAGTAGCACTTTTCCTTAGGTGACAATGAGAAAACTGAGGGACAGAGAATCCTTTAACTAGTCCAAGAACATGTCTGCTTAGTGACAGCAGGGCATGGGCTTCCCAACCTAGTTTTATTTTCACTGTACCATATCCCACCCCCAACATAAAGGTAAACAAGACCAGCAGGCCCCTCAACCCGTACCATCTGACGATTCCCACCCCCACCCCCCAATAAGCCCAGTACACAAAATCACCTCATCATTATCACTTGCTCGATCCCAAAACCTCTTTACCCTCCCAGGTATTTGTGGAGCTGAATGAGCTCCTGCTGGACAAAAACCAGGAGCCTCAGTGGAGGGAGACAGCGCGCTGGATCAAGTTTGAGGAAGATGTGGAGGAGGAGACCGACAGATGGGGAAAGCCACATGTAGCCTCACTTTCTTTCCGAAGTCTGCTAGAACTTCGTAGAACCCTGGCCCATGGTAACTCTCTTTACTTGTCTTCCCAGCCTTCACAATTTTTCCAGCTTCAGTCTCATAGGTGGGGTATGGTACTTCTAGCACAGTTTTCACTGACTAGCCATGATCCTATCCCTCCCTTCCAATCTCTGTACTTTGTGCATTCCCCGTCATCACCGCCCCCCCCCCAAAAAAAGGCATCAAGCGTCTTTTAGTGATATAATGCATAATGCAAAATGTCACCAGATAAACTTAGGAGTTCCTATATGCCAGGGTAGCATGTGACATCTCTGTTGTGTTGGGATATGTGTATTGTAACATCAATAAGTCCATTTGTAGATTTTTCTGTTTTTTATGCATTCCTATTTGTTTGGTTCTGGTTAGGGAATACTAATGATACAGTAACACCCCACTTATCTGACAGATGCTGTCATGGAACAGGCCCTTCTACATCAGTGAAGTTTCTTGATAAATGAAGCTTTAAGGATTTAAGCAACAAGACTGTATTTAACCATTTTAGTGGAGATTTTTTCTAAACTGGAGTACATCCTCCCCTGCCTTCTTAAATGGAGGATACCAAACATAATTTAACATTTTCTTGATAAATCATAATTATGAACATTTGTTGTAATTCTGTGTTATGATCTGGGACTGCTTAGCCCCACTGTACACTAAATGGCTCCAGGCTTCTGGACTTTCTGGTTGTTGGCCGTTCTTGCCTCTGCCAGTGAGCCCACTTTCTAATTTGCTGTGTCTGATTTGCTCAGAAACCAGGTGACTAACTAAGCCTGTTCACATTGATACAAATTAAACAGATAAGAGAACCCTAGAGAGTCAACTGAAAAATGGAGAAGGTAACCTTGGAAAAGTTGCAGGATATAAATAAATCTACATAAATAATCAGTATTCCTCTAGATTACCAACAAAACCCAGCATAAAGAACTGGGGAAAAAAGTTCCATTCAGAGTAACTATAGAAGTAATAAAATATTTAGGAGTATATCTACAAAGACTAGAAGGAACTATATGAATCTAACTACAAAACACTCTGTGGAAATAAAGACCTAAATGATTTGAGAAACATTAATTGTCAAGCCAATATAATAAAAATTGTAATACTATCTAAATCTCCCTTCAGTACTATAGCAATAAAATGGCCAAAAGAGTATTTTACAGAGCTAGGAAAAAAAAAAAAAAACACGGAGCAACAAAAGGTAAAGAATCTACAGTGAGAAGGAAGGGGTCTCGTACTACTACAAAGCAGTCATCATTGAAGCAGTGTGGTACTGGTTTTAAAAAAAAAGGGTTGATCAGTGGAATAAAAAAGAAGTAAACAAATAGTAGAATGGTGTTTGATAAATCCAACCCAGTTAGTGGAGGAATGTCTCACTAGAACAGTCTGGCAGAAATCAGGGTTAGATCAACACCTCACTCCAAATACCAAGATAAACTCAAATAGATGGTTGTATGACCTAAATATAAAAGGTCACATCATAAATTAGAGGAACAAGAAAGAAATTACCTTTCAGATCTATAGACAGGTAAGAATTTATGACTAAACAAATGATAGAGAAGATCTCACAGTACAGCATGGACAGTTTTGATTTTATAAAATTTAAAAGTTTTGGCAGAAACAAAATCTAATGGAGTTAAATTTAGAAGGGAAACAGGAAACTGGGGAAAGAAATCTTTGCAGCAGATATCTTTGACAAAGGTCTCACATCTGAGATTTATAAAGAACTGATTCAAATTTGTAAAACAAAGCCATTCCCTCTATAGATAAATGGTCCCATGGTATAAACAGGCATATTTGAAAGAAAGAAATCCTAGGTGTCAACAATTATATGAAAATACTTTTACTCATCTAATAATTAGAAAAATACAAATTAAACTTGAGATTCCACCGTATGCACATCAGACTAGCAATGATGACAAAGAAAACACATTTGAAGGGTTTTAAGAAAGCTGTACACTAATGTACTGTTGGTAGAGTTATGAATTGGTCTGGAAAATTGGTCTTTCCATTTTGGAAAGCAGTTTGGAATTAGGCCCTAAAATGTACTATGCTGTGCATACCCTTTGACCCAGCTAAATCACTATTAGGCCTATACTCCCAAAGATATCAAAGAAAAGGACTTAGTTCTATCTATAGCAGCTCTTTTTGTGGGACCCAAAAGTTGGAAATTAAGGGGATGTTTTCCTATCAGAGAATAACTAAACAAATTGTGAGATATGTATGCAATGGAATATTATAATATCTTGAAAAATTAAATGGACAGTTTCAGAGAAACCAGGGGGACTTCTGTGAACTGAAAGTGAGTGAAATGAGGGGAAATAGCAGAACAAGTTACATGATGGCAACATCGAGAAAAATGACCAAAAAAAGAAGGCTCAGGGTGAAGGCTGGAGGGCTTTCCTTTTAGTACAGTAAGTTTTAGCAGAGGGGCTCTGAGACGCTTTTGATCTCTCTGAGGACTTTCTTTTGTCTACTTCTGATTCCTAGCCAACTAGGATGTGCATAGGGGAGGTTGCTAGGTAAATGACATCTGTGAAGTTTTGTATTCCTGAACGACACTAAGAGGGTTGTTTCTAGGGTGATGCTCGATTGTGTCTGGTCTTACTGTCTGCAGTCAAGGGGATGATAAGTCTTTGCATTTATGTTTCTTTTTTTTTCTTTTAACTTTTAAGACACTTGAATCTTCTGAAATTATATGCCCAGGACCAGTTCTGGAAGTAGACATATAAGAATCAATTATGGGGAACTGGGGAATGTGTTACCTGGAAAACTAGTATGTAAAAGCTATCTTAAAATATCTGAGCACCTGTTCTATATAGTGCCTAGACTTATTCTGGATAGTTCTGGAGGACAGAACTAGAATTAATATGTAGACATTATAGGGAAGCACTGGCCTGCCTCACCAAGTAGTGAGCTCCCCAGCCCTGCTAATGCTTTATCAAGGATGATTGCCCAGGCTGAATATCAAAGGGGAGATTCCTGCTGAAGTTAGGCTGGATAAGATGAATTTGGATGAAGGTCCTTTGCAACACTGAGATTCCTACTCTCTTGGGCAGTTTTCACAACAACTCTTAGGCTTAGGTGGTGTGGGCTTATTTCATAATAGGTAAAGTAACTGAAGGCCGGCAAGGTTAAGTCACACACACAGTCAAGTGGCAGAGCTGGGCCTAGAACCTAAATCTCCAGCCTCCTAGCCCAAAGACTTTTCACTAAAATATATTATCTGTTTTGCTAAGTTTGAGACTGCTTCCCTTCTCCTCTTTGTCCCCTGGCCTCAGTAGGAGGTCACACCTTTGGAACTTTCTTCCCAGGCCCCACAGTTTCTGGTGCTCCGGCCTCTACTCTCAGCCAGCCTAACCCTCTTGTTCTCACATCTCCCTCTTGGCCACCCAACCCGAAGAATGTTGTTACAGTTCGCTTCTCCCCATCTTCCCTTTTGTAGGGGCTGTTCTCCTAGATCTGGATCAGCAGACACTGCCAGGGGTGGCACACCAGGTGGTAGAACAAATGGTCATCTCTGACCAGATCAAGGCTGAGGACCGAGCAAATGTGCTTCGGGCCCTGCTGCTGAAACACAGGTAAGCAGTTCTGAGATAAAACTCTCTCCTGCCCCCAAGTCATAAAGGTACTCCTTCCCCTACCCCTTTTCCATTGAGGGTCCTTCTGATTCCTGTCCCCACCCCAAAAAAATCCATTCCTCTCACCAGTGTACATTATTGAGACATGCTACTGATCCACACACTGTACAGAAAATGTGCCCTTCTGTGCAGTCATCCTTGCCAAGGCTTCTCCCCTTCCTTTCCCCCTTCGTCCTTCCACACCCACCACCTCCTAGGTTTCCTTATCTCTTTACTTCTCTCCCTATCAGCCATCCAAGTGATGAGAAAGATTTCTCCTTTCCCCGGAACATTTCTGCTGGCTCCCTGGGGTCCCTGCTTGGGCATCACCATGTCCAGGGGGCTGAGAGTGACCCCCACGTCACTGAGCCTCTGATTGGAGGAGTTCCTGAGACCCGCCTGGAGGTAGAGAAAGAGGTAAGGAAGGTCCTGGAAGACTTGAGTTGTCATTGAGAGGAGAAGGAGGGGGAAAGAGGGAAGGAGTTGAGAGACCTGTGTTAGAATAACACTAATAGCTAACTTCTGTAGAGCACTTCCACGTTGACTGAGCCCTTTACATGTGTCAACCTCATTTGATTCTCAACCCTGTGAAGAATGTGGTCACGTTATCTTCATTTCCTATTTGAGGACACGGAGGCACAGAAAGGTTAAATGACTTGCCCGTTATCACACATCTTGTAGACATTTGAATTCAGACCTTTCTGAACTGACAACAGCAGTGCTTTATCCACTGAGCCACACAGCTGTCTGGTCTCAGCTGCGTCTCCTTACAGATGTGTGACTTTGGATGAGTCATTTAATCTTGTTATCAGTTTCCTTATCTGTTAAATGGAGGTAGTATTATTCATTTTTGCGTTTTTGCAGGATTGTTGTTAGAAGTGATTTGTAAACCTTGAAACTGTATCAGTCAGAATAATTGGTAATTATTTTAGTTATTAATAATAGCAACAACTACTTCTGGGTTTCAGGCTCCTCATCCATCCAACAGGGATAGCTATACATCTGCTTACTTCACAGGAATGTTGTGGGAATGTTTTTCTCTTAAGATAGAGGGGAAGGACAATGAGTTTTGGCAGGTGATGTTGAGGGGGAGGTAGGTTAAGCTGTCCCTCTCTTTCTCCTTCCACCCCAGCGGGAGCTGCCCCCTGCTGCCCCCCCTGCTGGCATTACTCGATCCAAGTCCAAGCATGAGCTGAAGCTGCTGGAAAAAATTCCTGAGAATGCAGAAGCCACTGTGGTGCTCGTGGGTATGAGGGGTTCAAGCTTGGTTGGGGAGGGTGGGTAACGGGGATGTGATTTTAGGTAGAATGGATGGTTTGAGGAATAGGCAATTTGGGGTTTCCCCCTTCTGCACCTGCTTCTCCTTCTGGTAACTTCTGTACTCTTCTTAACTGGATACGGTTCCTCGCTCCTATGTATGCTTCTGAATACTGACACAGCACTCCCCCTTTCACTTTTTCTTTAAATAATATTTTCCCCTAATTATATGTAAAAAACAATTTTGTGTTCCAAATTCACCCTCCCTGAGATGGTAAGCAATCTGATACATGTGCAATCATGTAAAACATATTTCTGTATTAGTCATTTTGTGGAAGAAAACTCAAACCAAAAAAAAGAAAAAGAAATAAAGTGAAAAATAGTATGCTTTGGTCTATATTCAGACTCCATCAGTTCTTTCTCTAGAGGCAGGCAGCATTTTTCATCATGAGTCCTTTGGGACTATCTTAGATTATTGTATTGATGAGAACAGCTAAGTTAATTATAGTTGTTCATGGTCCAATATTGTTGTCACTGTATATAATGTTATCTTGGTTCTGCTCACTTCATTCTGCATCAGTTCATGTAAGTCTTTTTAGGTTTTTCTGAAATCATCCCGCTTGTCATTTCTTATAGCACAGTATTATTCCATTATAGTCATATACCACAATTTGTTTAGCCATTCTCCAATACATCATCTGGGTTTCCAATTCTTAGCTACCACAAAAGAGCTGCTATAAATACCCTTGTACTAATAGGTCTTTTCCCCCCTTTTTTTGATCACCCCCTTTCACTTCTCATTCCAAGCAGACACATCCTTTCTCAGGCTTCTCCCTTGAGCCTCTCATCCTTCTCTTTTGCCATTCATCCTCACAGACTTCCTTTCCCAGCCACCACTTTGTCTTCCCCACCCTAGATAATCGTACACACTAAATGCTGAACTTGGGGACTAGAAGTCCCAGCTGGGCCTCCCGTGAGCTTAGTTAACCACTGGATCTCTCTGAACATCAGTTTCCTCATTTGTAAAATAAGAATGATAATGCATGTAGTCCTACTTCTGTAAATTGGTGTACTCTATTAGTGTCATAATTTTGTCTGCCCCGTGGACTGAGGAATCGTCCTCACCGCTGGGGACTTATTCCTCATGTTCTTCCCTATGAGGTTGGTGTCCTGTCTTGCCCCTCTTATCCCTCCCAGACTAATGGGGGACTTGGCCTGCCTCCTTCCAATCCATGTGCCACGTGACTCTGATCCTTACCACTATCCCCTTGTCCCCCTTCTTTCTCCTCAGGTTGCGTAGAGTTCCTGTCCCGTCCCACCATGGCCTTTGTGAGGCTGCGGGAGGCAGCTGAGCTAGACGCTGTACTTGAGGTGCCTGTGCCTGTGCGCTTCCTTTTCTTGCTGCTGGGCCCAAGCAGTGCCAACATGGACTACCACGAGATCGGGCGCTCTATCTCCACCCTCATGTCGGACAAGGTCAGCCTACCCCATCCTCCCCCTGCCCCCCACAATACAGCCATTACAGGTCAACCTCTGACCCCAAGAGGATGCATTCATTTAACTGATACATATGTTCAAAACACCAGGAACATAAACACTGTGTTCAAGGAGCTGACAGTCCAACAAGGTTGGCTTTTTCCTTTTCCCCTTAGCCCACTGAATGATTTCATTAGAAGGGTTCTTCGGTCCTGCCCTTATGCCTAACCGAGCTCCATATGCAGCAGCGGTCTAATAAATGTCCGGTGGAGGATTGATACTGTGGTTTTCATTCTGTGCCCGTGCCCTCCCCTTGTCTGGCAGCAATTCCATGAGGCGGCCTACCTTGCAGATGAGAGGGAAGACCTGCTGACTGCCATCAACGCCTTCTTGGACTGCAGCGTGGTGCTGCCGCCGTCGGAGGTGCAAGGCGAGGAGCTCCTCCGATCTGTTGCTCACTTCCAGCGACAGATGCTCAAGAAGCGTGAGGAGCAGGGGCGGCTGTTGCCCCCGGGTGCTGGGCTGGAGCCCAAATCCCCTCAGGACAAGGGTACGGGGCCAGGCTGGGAGGGGAGATGGGAGAAATGATTGGGTGGGTACACAAGGGTCTGGGCAGTTTTAGGGTAAGTATAAGGTTGTGGCCAAGATGGGGAATGTTTCTGAAAAGTGAGAAGGATATGACTAAAGTGTGGATTTAGGGAAGGGCAGAGTTCTTATACAGACGTTTGGGGATATGTTTCAGAAAGAGAATCCCTAGGTTCTAGAAGACATGGTGGGCAGGGATATTGGGGAGAAAAGTGCCTTCTTAGGGAGCAGGTTAGGCTCTTTAGAGCTTAAAACTTTCTGCATGAGAATAGGGGGTTGGTGGGTGACCAGAAGGAGTCTGGGGGATTCAGGTGGAAGGGAGGTTGTCCCTGACGGAGGCCGGGACTGCAGCGCTCCTACAGATGGCGGAAGCATCAGGGGGAGCAGATGATGATGATCCTCTTCGGCGTACGGGCCGGCCCTTTGGAGGACTGATCCGGGATGTGCGGCGCCGTTATCCTCACTACCTGAGTGACTTCCGAGATGCACTGGACCCTCAGTGTTTGGCAGCTGTCATCTTCATCTACTTTGCTGCCCTGTCCCCTGCCATCACTTTTGGGGGGCTACTTGGTATGTTGGAGATTGAAGGCAGTGGTGACAGAAGGGATTAAGGAAGTAGAATCCCTAGACCTTGATCATGATGGGGATATGGGAGGCATCCTGAGATCCTTAGCACTTGCATCTCTTTCCATCTCAGGAGAAAAGACAGAGGATCTCATTGGAGTATCTGAGCTGATCATGGCCACGGCTCTCCAGGGTGTGATCTTCTGCCTGCTGGGGGCCCAGCCCTTGCTCATCATTGGCTTTTCTGGGCCCCTGCTAGTCTTTGAGGAAGCATTCTTCTCGGTAAGGCTGATTATAGGCTATCAAGGGTGGTAGCAGGAGTGTGTAGAAACAGGGCTTAGAGGCGCACTATGAGGCACTGATTACTTGCCCGCTTTCTGTGACATAATGGATATGAAGACTGGACTTGAAATGATAAAGACCTAAATTGGAATTCTGCCTCAGACCCTTAAAGCCATGTGACCCTGGGCAAGTCACTTACTGTCCCTGAGCCTCAGTTTCCTAATCTGCAAAATATTGGGAATGAGGCTGGGACCTATGTCACCGGGACCAAGAAGAGCTCTCTCTCAGACAGCTCTCCCAACTTTGACCTGAGCTACAGCCTTTCCTCTTCTCCCTTGCCCAGTTCTGCAGCTCCAATGGCCTGGAGTACCTGGTGGGCCGAGTGTGGATTGGGTTTTGGCTGGTGCTCCTGGCTCTGCTGATGGTGGCACTAGAGGGCAGCTTCCTTGTCCGCTTTGTTTCCCGGTTCACCCAGGAGATCTTTGCCTTCCTCATCTCCCTCATTTTCATCTATGAGACCTTCTTCAAGCTGATCAAGGTGAGCAGCTCCCTTTTTCAGTGGGGATTTCTTTCAGGTTCAGTTAGTGGGAAGGGGCTGGCTCCCCCTGGAGATCTACCTACCCCCTGTGTGTCTTGGTCTGCCAATCTCTGGAAGTTGGTCCTTTACTGCCCTGGGTGAATACATGGAAAGGATGGATGCACCATCTATCAAAGGGCATGGTATCTAGTAAGGCTGGAAAGATAGGCTGGAGCCAAGATGGCAGGCCAAGGGGGTCTGGATTTTATTAGCAGGGAGCCACTAAAGGTTTTTAAGCAAGGAAGTGAAATAGTCAGGGCTGTGCATTACATTGGCACATACGAAGGGTGGATGAGAGACCAGAGACACTGGTGTCAGACAAGTTACAAGGCTCTGATAAACAGTTTAGACAGCAGGTAAGGAGGACTTGAAGCTGGGTGGTGAAAAGGCAATCAAGCATACTTGGTAATTAGTTGTATGTAGGGAGAAGAGTGAGGGAAGAAGAACTTGGGAGACTGGGATGATGGGTGGTACAAGAATGAGTTCAGTTTTGGAGATTTTGAGTTTGAGGTGATGGCGAGGTGAAGATACAGGTAATTGGAAATAAAGTGTTGGAGCTTAGAGAAGAAATAGGGCTTGTAGACAGATTTGGAAGGCATCAGTATAGAGGTAGTTTAAAGGCATGATAATGCATAGGTGATGATGGCGTAAAGAGAGAAGAGGGATGGGGACAAAGCCTGGGCATAGAAGTGCATTTAGAGAATGGGAAGAGGAAAAAGGAGCAAGTAGGGAGAAGCAGGAGAATTCATTGTCATGGAAGCCAGGGAAAGAGAGAGAATATTAAGAAGCAAGGAATGTTTCATAGAGTAAGATGTTGCAGAGGTCAAGAAGAATGATGACTGATTTAGTAGAGAGCCTCAATGATTTCTGCTACAAAATAGTGGGTAGGACATGTCATCTGAGTTTGAAGAGTGTGGAAGTTTTGAGTGGCTATGGTTAATGGGAAGGGAAGTTGGTGAGAGCTAACTGATTGGGAGTGGCTGTGCATCATCAAGCACCTCTTCAAACAGCATGAATTCCTAGTGGACCATGTCGGCACAGTTAGGAGGGGATGGCGGGGGTGATCCCCGAGGTGGATTGTTTGGCAGGGTAGGCTTAACAGAAAAACAAAGAGGTGAGGGATTCAAAAGTTGGAGGAAAGAACAAGGCTGAAAGGCTGATTATTGGGTGCAAAGCCAGAACAGGGGTTGTAAACCGGGAGGAAATGTTGATTTTGGCAGACCTAAAGGGTAGCCCCAGAGACCTTGAACCCACCAGATCCCTTATTTGGAAGTTTTCCTTTCTCCTTTCTTCAGTCCTACCTGTCTTTCAGGGCCCAGTTCAAATGTCATTTTCATAAAACTTCTGATTTTAGCCTCCTGCCCCAGCCAAAAATTATCTCCCTCTTAATTTTTTTTCACAATACTTTATATATCTTTTATGCACTCAAAATTTTCTCTTTTGTATCAGAGTTTACGTGCATATCTTATTTTTCCTACTAGTCAGTATACTGTCTGTGAGAAGGACTGTGTTATCTGTGGTACTCCTAAGTTCCCTTAACTCTAGCTTCCTAAATCTAGTAAGCTAAATCTAGTAAAATCTAAAAAAATCTAAAATCTATTAAGTCTCATTTCTTCCATGAAGTCTTTCAACAACTTTGATTCATCCTCATCACTCCCCTTCTTGACCTTCAGTAGCTCTTAATTGACTTTCCTCATTCATCTGTTGATCATAATCTGTCCTCTACTTTCTGTTTGTACAGTGTGTGTTATCTCCCCTAACCAAACTGTCCTGGAGGGTAGGAAAAGGTATTAGGTATTCAGTAAACAAATGTAGGGTGGTATGATTTAAGTTTTTTCCTCCTTCCATCTTCCCAGATCTTCCAGGAACACCCACTCCATGGTTGCATTGTCCCCAATGACTCTCAGCCAGTGGAGGTCGAGAATAAAACGTGGACAGAAGTAATGGTGATGCAGAGAAATGGGAGTGCACCTAGTGAGAAGGAGACACGGAGACCGAAGGGTCAGCCCAATACCGCTCTGCTGTCCCTAGTGCTCATGGCTGGGACCTTTTTCATTGCCTTCTTCCTTCGAAAGTTCAAGAACAGCAGATTCTTCCCTGGGAGGGTAGGTGGCTCTGCAGGTTGGAGATGTGGTGGGTAAAGTCCAGGAACTTCATATTCTCATCTCCCAAGATTGCCTCTTTGCAGAGGCACATTAAGTGGAGAATATATTTTTGTTTTTGTTTTCTGAGCCTCCACTCTTCTCTATCCAGATCCGAAGAGTGATTGGAGACTTTGGAGTTCCCATTGCAATTCTCATCATGGTGCTGGTGGATTATAGTGTTGAAGATACCTACACCCAGGTGAGAGAGGAGATGGATGGACATATCCACGCCCACATCCAAATGCACCACTAAAAGTATCTGGAGACTGAAAGTCATTTCTCCAGTCTCGGAGATCTTAAGAACCCTGTAATTCCCCTTGCCCTGGGACCTCCATACTCCCTATTTCTGTCTGATGATTTCTGCTTATTGTTCACTTATCTTTGAGCACATCAGACTGCTGATGTTTGTCAGTCTCTTCCAAACTCCTCACAGCCCTTGACCTCTGCCTCTGCAGAAGCTGAGCGTGCCCAGTGGGTTCTCAGTGACAGCCCCTGAGAAACGGGGCTGGATAATCCATCCTCTGGGCAAAAATGGGGACTTCCCCGTTTGGATGATGATTGCCAGCTTTCTGCCTGCCATCCTTGTCTTCATCCTCATCTTCATGGAGACTCAGATCACAACGTGAGTCTGAATTTGGGGGATTTCTATGGGAAGATGTACCTGAGCAACTGGATATAGGTCTGAATGGAGCAGAGTCCACGGAGGTTAGCAGATAGGGTTCAACAGTTAGATTGAAGCCAAATTATGGAAGCCCTAATTATCAGACCAACAACTTTGAACTTGATCCACTGGGAATCATTGAAGGTTTTGGTGTGGAGGTTGTGACATTATGTCAAAAATGTCAAGGAGGCAACTAGAAAGAACTTTAGAAGCAATCCGGTCCAACCCTTGTCCTCCATTTTACAGGTGAGGAAATTCTGACAGATAAGATAAATGACTCGTCTGTGTTTACACTGCTAAGGGCAGCACTGTGCAGGACAGATTGGACGAGCAAAGAGAATGGAGCAGGGAAATCCCCTAGGAGACTGTTGTGGTAATCTAGGCCTGCCTGAAAGTACCGTGGACTAGGAGGATGTTCATATTAAAAGCTGAAAAGAGTAGGCTCTTGAGGCATTTTGAAGGAAGAATGAGCCTGGGTAGGTGATTAGATGGGTGGAACGAAAGATGAAGAGATGCCGGCTAGCTAGGATTAAGCACCCAGCTCCCTTACCATACATAAGGGACAGTAAGTAGTAAGTGACCCTCCTCCTCTTCCCATTCCTCTAGGCTTATCATCTCCAAGAAGGAACGCATGCTGCAGAAAGGCTCTGGCTTTCACCTGGACCTGCTGCTGATTGTGGGCATGGGAGGTCTCTGTGCCCTCTTCGGCCTGCCCTGGCTGGCTGCTGCTACCGTCCGCTCCGTCACACATGCTAACGCACTTACTGTCATGAGCAAAGCTGTGGCACCAGGGGACAAACCCAAGATCCAGGAAGTCAAGGAGCAGAGGGTGACGGGGCTACTAGTGGCTGTGCTCGTGGGTATGTTTTGCCTTTTGTGGCTTGAGACTCGGCACCTTACCAGAGCGTGGGGGGCTGTTGTGAACCCTTCCTTATATGTTCTCCTTTCTCCCCCTAAAGGCCTCTCCCTGGTGATTGGGGACCTGCTCCGTCAGATCCCCTTAGCTGTGCTCTTTGGGATCTTCTTGTATATGGGTGTGACCTCCCTCAATGGCATCCAGTTCTATGAACGGCTACACTTGCTGCTCATGCCACCCAAGCACCACCCTGATGTCACCTATGTCAAGAAGGTGGGCCCCCTCTCCTTACTCCTGGCCCCATTTCCACCTGATTCTTTTTTGTCTAGGCTCTTCCAGCCACTCCTCCACCATCTTCGTGTCACAGTACAAAGTCTGCCTCTTGCCTGTTCGCCGTATTAGCAATTATCAGCTGCTATCAAGTCACCGTCAAGCTTTGGTTCCCCAGCGGTAACGGCTTGTCAGACACCCTAGCCTATCTCGGAACACAGGGAGACTTAGGTTCTAAGTCTGCTCAACCTTCTCCCTTTCTCTGCAGGTTCGGACCCTTCGGATGCACTTGTTCACAGCCCTGCAGCTCCTGTGCCTGGCCCTGCTGTGGGCTGTCATGTCCACCGCCGCCTCTCTTGCCTTCCCTTTCATCCTCATCCTCACAGTGCCGCTCCGTATGGTACTGCTCACACGAATCTTCACAGAGCGAGAGATGAAATGCGTAAGACCCGCTCCCTAGCCTCAGTCCCTAATTCCTTCTCCCTTCCACAAGACTAATCCACTCTAGAGCCTTTAGCCTTTTTTTTTTTAAACTTTGCATTTCCCATGTCCCTTCACAACTGAATTACGGAAAAATTTCTACTTTGAAACATTCTTTCCTTCCCCTGATTTTGATTTCCCTTTTCCACAGCTGGATGCTAATGAGGCGGAGCCAGTGTTCGATGAGCGGGAGGGTGTGGATGAGTATAATGAGATGCCCATGCCGGTGTAGGGTGCTGGACAGAGGGACAAGACTGAAGGACAGATGGACAGAGGGACTGGGGGCCTTGGTAGAGGGGAGGGGTCCTCCATCCCCCCCCCATTTTTATTTAAGTGAATAATTTAAAGTCCTTCCCTGGCAGTAAAATGCTTTGCCCCCACCCCCATCCCCCACCCCCAGTTCTCCTGGCTCCATGCTTCACTGGGGGAAGGGGAAGAATGAAGAAAGGACAGGCTCCCAGAAATCATACATATGACTAGGAAAGACTTTAATGAGAAACTAAAACACAGAGAAATGGTACCTTGTTCACTCTCCATGGGGGGTAGGTGACTTCACACTCCAAAACAGGAGTGTCCTTCTACTTCATGGACCAAAGGCAGCCTTTGCATCGACTCCATGTCCACATCTGGACAGCTGTTAGAGAAAGGGACAGAAGGAGGCTGAGGTTCCTTGTTTTAAGCATTGTAGACCTGGTTGTTTAGACAGGAGTATGAGGGATTTGGTGAAATATTTTACAGCCAAAAGGGGTTATGTAAAAAACGCTATCCCTGGGACAGAGAATCCCCACCATTCTCCCCATACACCGTGAATATTGCTTTTGTTCCTCAGACACCTTAACTAAAAAAGCAAAACCTGCTTCTTATCCTTGGATCCCTGCACCCAGCCCAGTGCCTAAGAATTCCTTTGCCTGTTCAGTATAGCCCGGTGGCACCATCATAATCCTGTCAGGATCTCCTTTCTGTCAGCCGCTGCTCATGACTTTGAACCACTGTTTCCTTATGAGTATGGAAAAGGGGAAAAAGTATACTGAGAGTGGAAAGAACCTTGGATTCAAGAGACGTGGCTTCAAGTATTGGCTTTGCCAATAACCGACCATGTAAGCTTAGGCCAATCATTTAACGTCTGAGCCTCTTTCCTCTTATGTTAAAGTAAAAAGGTTGGACTACAGGTTCTTTCTAGGCATAAAAATCTGACGTCTGGTAGAATAAAATATGGCGGACCTAAACACATTTGGAACTTCTGCCTTTTGATACAGCATTATAAGGACTGGTCCCTATCTAATCCCAGACATCTCCCCTTTCTGCTCCCTTATCTTGATTAAAAGTCAGCTTCCCCTTGCCCACCTGGACTTTCCCTAGCATGATCTGCTAGGGAAGGATACGCACTTGATATTTTAGGGAGTGGGGACCCTGTTATCCTGAGATCCATGTGTATATGGATAGCAAGCAGGGACAGATGTTATTGCCTTCTCAAGGCCTACAGGGAAATTGGAACGGGAACATGCCCAAGACACCAAGAAATTATAACTTACTGCCATGTATGCCCCAGCCCCTGGCTTTTTTTTTCCCCTGTGATCACAGGAAGTAGGCATCCTGATCTAAAGCTGGACAAAATGCAATATACAGGATCCCTCAGAAGACAGCAAAGGTAACAGTGAAAGGAGAAGGAAGAGGGTAGTGGCAGGCGATGCAATCCTCACCTCCCAGAATCACATAAACTGCTGGTCCCCAGATAGGTAATTCATCTGCCCTAGGGGCTTCTGCACTACCCAGTTGTGGCTGAGGTAGGAAAATGATTGTTCATTTGTTTGTCCACTTTTTGCATACTACTGAGGGTGATTCAGTATCCTGTGGGAAGATAAGCAAAAAAAAAAAAACAACATAAGACAACCCAAGTTCACAAGGCAGTGACTAAGAGCGTAATGAGTTTATTCAGAGGAGTTTAAATGGAGAAAAGTGCTAGGAATTCAGAGGGATAGATCATTGTGGTTGGAAATAACTGAAGGTTTCGCATAAGAAGCAGGAGTTAATATGGGCTTGGAAGAATAGGGATGATCTCTGTAGGCAGAAGAATGTCAGAGGATATGAACTGAGGTAGTGAGGTGGGAATGAATATAGCATTATTTAGTGCACAGCTCAGCCTGGCTTGAGTAAAGGGTTAATAATGGGGATGAGGAGTTAGAAGAGGTGGGGTGGGACCAGATTATGTATAATCCAGGAACTATGTCAAGATTTGAGGGTGGTCAGAATAAGGTTTGCCGAAGAGATGAGGTGGAAGGGCTTACCTGTGTGGTTAAGAATGTCACAGGGTGCCCCCCAGGACAGAGCAGGACACCAAAGGATGGGCTGCCCCATATTTAATTAGTCTGGCCTAGCTAGTATCATGCTTGGTTTCTGCTGTCTCTGCTACATTACTGGTACCAGGATATCAGACCTGATGCTATTGGAAGTTCACAGCTCCCAGACTTACCCCAATCAAGGGGATGATTCTTGGAAGGGATTTACTTTAGAGGTTGGTAGACATGCTGCTGATCTAAGGCTTGCACCAAAAGTCAGTCAGCTGGGAAACCTAGGTAGGCAGTAGTGAGTGAGGATATCCCAGCCCAGGGATTTAATTGTGTGACTTCAGGCAAATGCCACCTCCATGTTTTTAGTTTGGAATGTTTGTTCTAAGGACAAAATGAGTTAATGGGTATGTGAAAGTAACCTCCAAAATTCAAAAGCATTTTATCACTTTACAATTTGCAGAATACTTCAAACCTTCCAGCAACCCTCTAGGATAGGCAGAACAGATACTGTTAGAAACCCTATCATAGGCTCAAAGAAGGGTCCAGCTATTCTAAATGAGATGGAGGCAATCCACCCGATGACCTCAGAGACTGGGGTGGGGGGGGGGGGTGTCTGACCCTGTCGCAAGCTTGTGGCACTAAAGACTTAAGAGGCCTTAAAGACGATCTAGTTCTTCTGCTCCCTTGCTTTACAGAGGAGTAAAGTGAAAAATGACCGACTTTACATACGTTAGAGAAGTAAATTAGCAGCCAGGGTTTGGACCCACTTTGCCAAAACCACTGTTTTTTGTTTTTTGCACTATCCCACACTTTCTCTACCCTCTCCACCCCTCAATTAATCTATGTTTATAACACAACATTCGGGCCCAGACTCACAGCTGGCAGGGACCCAGGTGGAAATTGAGGCCTAGAGTGGTGAGGTAATTAGCCCAAGGTTCCCAGGCACGAATTAGCAGAGCTGGGATCCGACCCCAGGTCCTGGTGCCCCGGGAGTTCTCCCACGCTCCAAGAGGGTCCCTGCGCTGAAGTCGCGCATCCCTCCGCGCGCCCCCCCCGCCCTTCGCGAGGGAGGGGGCAGATGTAGACAAGGATGGGGGAGGGAAGGGATACCCCGGTCTTCGGCTTCCTAGCGCCCCAGGCTTCCCTGGACACTGCGGGGAGCAGAGCCGGTCTTGGGTCCTGGCGTCCAGGTCCGCCCCTTGCCCAGCGCCGGGCCGTCATAGGCCAGATGCCGCCGAGTCCGCCATCTTCCCGGCAGCCCTTTGGACGCCGCTCCCGCCAGCAATTGCAGCCGCATCCCCCACCTCTCCAGGACGTGGCTCCCGTCTACCCCAGGGAGTCCAGGGCCGCTTGCGCGGAACCTGAAGGCGCCTCGCCAGCGGCGGGGGGGGGGGGGGGGGGGGGCGCCCCCCGGGGGGGGGGGGGGGGGGGGGGGGCGGGACCGACCTTGCTCTCCTGCGCTGCCACGCCCCCTATTGCCCAGAGACCAAGTCCGAACTATAGAGTAACAGCTTTTCTTTATATAGCGCGTCCCTCACAACAGCCCTGTGAGGTAGGTAATGCAACTAGTTTTACTAGTCTTACTCCCCCTCCGGGGTGTAAGAATAGGCCCCGGGGTCCGGTGACCCGCCCCCGGGGGCACAGCTGCTCAAAGTTGGCGCAGGGAATGGGACCCCCGTGCAGGTCCCTCCCCTGTCCGGGCTGTGTGGGGCCACAGAGGCCCTCGGAGCCGGGCTTCCCCATTCCCAGGCCCCTTCACCTTCGTACACTCACTCACACACACCCGGCAGCGCTGGGAATTCACATTTTTGTTTAATAGAAGTCTTTGCAAAGAACCAGAGCGGCGGCCCCCGGTCCTGTCCAGCGAGCCGGGGCCGGCTGCGACACAGCCACGCTGGGGGTCACTGGCAACTCTCACGGCGCATGGGCAGGCTGGGCGTTCGGGGGACCCAAAGGCTTGGGCATGCCCTGCACCCCCAGGCAGGGACAACAGCTGCCCGGCTGGGAGGCGGCCGCTCTCAGTTGGGGGTGGGCGCCTGCGGTCCCGGGAGCCAGCCGGGAGCAGTGCTGGTCACACGGGGAGGGGTCCGAGGGCCCCCGCAGCTCTCTCTGCAGAGCTGGGCTCCAGGGCAGGGGAAAAAGGCATGGCCGAGCTGTGGGCCGGGGGAGACAGCAGCTCCCGCTGTGCCGCGGAGAATGGGATCCGGGATGGCTTTGGCCCTGGGCTCGGGCAGGCACTAGCGGCGGTACATTGCGAAGGCCAGGAGACTGACCAGCAGGGTGAGGCCGGCCAGGCCCAGGGTGGCGGTTGGGGGAAAGAAGGGTCGGTACTGGATCTGGCAGTACCAAAGCAGCGTCAGCATGAGAAGCAGCAGGGGGAGCAGCAGATTGCCCACTCCCAACCCCGAGGGGCCGGTCTCTGACCCCGGTGGGCAGCCGAGGTGTTGGGGACCTGCTCTGGCGGCCACGTGGCAGTGGAGAACGCAGTTGGGGGGTAGGTGAAGTGAGCCCAGTGTCTGGGCATCGTCTCCTAGAAGCTGCCCTTGGTAGATGAGTCGAACTTGGTGTTCCTGGCCTGGAAACTGGGTCCTGAGGAGAGAGGGACCTGGGTAAGAGAGCAGGCCTCAGCCAATCCTAGTCCTATGCCTTGTCACAACAGTTCCCACCCACTTATTACCCCCACTTCCCTTCTCCCTTCAATTAGCCCGCACTTCCTCAGAGACAGGCAGCTAGAATTAGGAGATCTGGGCTTGACTCCAATTCCTCTACTAATTAGGAAGGCTCAGAGGTGTCAAACTAGCAACCTCCAAACAGGTTAAAATGTAATTGGGAAGTGTTTAACAAAATAAATAAAAATACAATACAACATAGATGTGAATTTGTGGTTTTTTTAAGTCAATTAGTCCCTGCAGGGATTTGCTTCTAGTTGAGTTTGAGATTCTTTCTCCATCTGATTCCAACCCATTCTCTCAGCATCACCTTCCCTGCCCCTCTCATTTCTCTCCCCACCCCTACTCACCTTTTCAAGGAGCCAATGGTATCCTGGGGCCAGGCTCTAGCCACCTGCTCAGAGTCGTTGAGGAACTTCAGCCTAAGCACCAAGGGTCCTGGCTGAGAGTTGGGAGGTGGTGCTTCTGGGGATACTGTGCCAGGCTCTGACTGTAAGTTTGGTACTCGGTGTCTCAGGGTGGGGGCCTCAGATCCTGAAGCATCCTGGCTGTTGCTGATTGTGGATACTGCAGCCTCTCTGGACTGTGTTGGGGAGGGGGTCCCTGAGTCCTGGGGCAGCAGATCACCTTGTTCTGAGGTATGTGTAGAGATCCAGGCCAGGCCCAGCACCAGGAGACAGAGGAGTGCCCCAAAAAGGACAGTCACCTCATCCCCCACCCCCTCAATCAGGGCCATGGCACCTGCCTAGGCCAGGCTACTGAGCTGTATGGGCATAAAGAGACCAGTGAGATATTAGCCTGCAGAAAACCCTCTTATTTCACTAGTCTCCTATTCCCCATTCAATTCCAGCTTCACAACAACCCTCAATTCTTTGAATTCCAGCCCCTGTTCAACATTCCTCCCCATTCCTTAATTCCTTTGTCTCCTAAAGTCCCCAAACCTACCTCTCTACTTCTCATCTCTAAATTCCAAATCCTACCCTTTGGTACCTCAACACTTCTAAAGTCTTCTAAAGCCTCTGTCTTCTAAACCTTCCCTTTCATCACCAAACCCCAAATCCCACCTTTGGGCCTCCCAATTGATCTTCTGAAAGCCCCAACTTTATTCCATGCAACATCCAACAATCAACCAAACTCCAACTCCTAACTCATTGCTCTCAACCTCTCTGCATCTTAAAGCCTCCAAACCCACCTCTGTATGCCCCCCCCACTAAAACACTAATTCTACTCTTCTGTCTGCTAAAAGCCTCTAAATTTGATTTTATACAC